AGAAGATCGACATAGGATACTTTTTAACTAACATTTTTTTTTTACTTTTTACCGAAAATCACGAACGGGGACGGGAAAAAATGGGATTAGGCGTACGAAGTCGTGGGCAAAAGCTAGTTATATTAAATATACTACATATACGTATCATAATTATACATAGTATATTAATAGTTACGACTCTGCCAATTTCTTTAAAAGTAAGAAATTAGCTTTTTCTCTTAGGTCGGAAGGGTTGCAAGTAATATCAAATTCCAGAGGAGTAGATTTTTACGCGGTATGATTCATTAACATTGGTTTTTTTTAATTAAAATCATTTTCTAGTACTCATGTAGATACGACTTTCTTCAAGTCCTATTAAGATATGTCATAACTGTTTATTAAAGTTTAATGAATCGTAAAATCTTATAAGTACTCCAGGAACAAGTAAAATTTATGTTAATCGTTTCATTTTAATTAAATGTTAACATTTAGTCATTTACTGACTTCATTAAAATAAACATTTAAAACTGGCCATAAATTATAAGAACATTTTAATATCGCAATAATACAGACTATACTTAGATGCTATCTTAGTTAGTAGTGTGACTGTCATTCGAAAAGCTATTTATTAATTTACAGAAAAAAAATAATCTGCACTACTTTTCTAGACTAGACTCCAGAAGCCCTAGTACGAGTTATTTTACGTTAACCGTTATGACGTTTAACCCTCAGATTGGTAGGTTAACATTGGACAGATAAACGCAGTAAACGCAGTAACATTTTGATCGAATTAACGTAAAAGAAAAATTCGCACTAGGCCCTCAGTAGACGAACTTGGTACAATATTAATCACTCGATCAGTGTAGCAGATAGACATTATTATGTAACGTTTGACAAATATATTCACACGACAATGGAAGCATACATAATGTTCCGTGTACCATTCAAAGTTATTGACACCTTACATTCACTCGAGTCAATTACCTGACATTCGAGGATCGGATTCGTTTATCAATCAGTCTGGCTGACGTTAGCCATGCGGTTCTATCTTCTTATAACTCCTTACTTGTCTTATAATCTTTGAAAGTAGATTACTTCTCCTAGGATTATGTAAGGATGCACAAATACAATGTCATCTATTTTTCCCCTAATTTCCAATGTCACTTGCTCACTTTTCACCCATATAATAGGGTCGAGTATCTACCGCCTCTACCGGGCACAATCAATCTCCATGCAACTAAAGATTTTTTAAATAACTCCAACAGAAATCATAAATTAGTTAAAAGTTCCCAAAATCGAAAAGGGTCAGATTGAACAAAAAAACTCATGTTTAGCACTTGCACATTTTCCTACAAAACCGATACAATGACTAATTATCTACTAACGTCAACAATAAATTAATTATATTTATAAAAGGAAAATTTTTCAATGGATTATAGATTAGGATTACTCAATTAATTAGAAATTAATGAAAGAATTCATTAGAAGATATTATTATGATACCGTAATATCTCTCAGCTAAGATTTTTTCTAGAATACGCTCGATAAGATCAGACACAAAAATAATACCTCATTAAATGATTGGACATTTATCCTCGTTAACATATACTCAATAATAATTAAGGAAAAGTAAAATCATTAATAGGGATGTTGACAGGGTACGAAAATTAAAAATCTAATTAGTCCATAAGTTAGGTACTAATGAAAAAATATTAGACACGTATTTTTTTAATTTGTCGTATTAGAAAACAATACTTGGATAAAACGAATCAAAGTTTAAGAGTGGAAGGTAGCTACGTCATTTTAGAGTATAAATCGTACTCAAAGATGACGTCATGCGATGTTTGAAATCAATATATCTTCGAAACTAATGTTTTTTGTCTAATGTTTTTAAATAATCTACCAGACGGACATTAAAATAAAAATTTGTCATCTAACCTATTGCCTATATATAAATAGGGTTTCCTTGTTGGTATTTTTGATTTCGATTTTAATATCAATGAAAGCAATAATACGGGGATATTGAAATTTTTTACAAAATATCAAGCTACTGGATGTGTTTATATTACAGGCGAAGCTGAATAAATTAAATCGATCTCATGGTAGACTTCGCTACTTGGGATAGATTTTTTTTAAATAGGTATACCAACAGCTTCTGTATACTTACATAGTATAAAGAGATAACAAAGGTAACAATAGGTTTTGGGCTTATACAGTCGCCAATTATAGGTTACCCACTTTACAATCAAGTGATAGATAAAAATTGTACAAACGAACTGAAAAAAAGTAACTACTACTTACGAAATCAACATTCTTATGCTAAAGGAACATAAAATTAAAACTTTTAATAGAATTTTAAAAACATTGGTTACAAAAACATTAAACATTAAAAAAAAATCGTAAAAATGAAAAAAGAATTTAGACACAATCTAATGCAGCCAGTAATTTTTTGAGCAGTACTGTAAAAGCTAAAATAGTTTAGACCTCACATGTAAAAACTTATCACCCCATAGACATTAATGTTCATCAAATATTAGTTCCAATTTCACAGATCATATGAGTATGAAATGCCAATTCTTTGTTTTATTGATTGGTGCAGTCCAGAACCGGTTTCAAAATCAACTTTCTTTTGATTCAACTTTTTCGTAGTACCTAATTCTTTTTGCATGATTGTCTGTATGCAATCATTTATATTTAGATGGTTTTTTATACCAGAAGGCCGATTTATAGTAGTCAATAAAACAATTTACGCAATGACAAAGCGGTATGGGCATTACAATGCGAATTTAATGTTTGTTAATACCAATTGAGCGAAACGCGTCCCAGACGTATCATCGGAGAAATAGAATTGAAAGAATTAGAACGAATATTTTTCAAGAAAATTACTAATAAAAAGGTAATAAAATTATATTATTTTTTAAGGGGTGAAATATCATCGAATGACTTCTGCCGCCTGGGTGAGGCGGGAGGGAGTGTCAGACTCTTACTGACTAAAAACCAGCCCGTTCCTACTCCTGCACTTCAAGCCGGAGCCCCAGTAACCCGTTAAGTCCTCCGCGCTAAAAAAATATATTTTAGTAGGTACGTTGTGCATCACTTGGCTTTGACATATAGTTATTGCTACTTATAATTTAAGTATTAGATATTTAACTCAAAAATAACTACATGTAAACTCAAAATGCATTAAACACGTACTAACCGAATTATTAAAGCCTTCATATTGCAAATAAACTTTGGTAATGACCAGCAATACTCCTTCAAAACACGTACTTATGCATGTAAAAAATATCTGGTTTATTACATTTTTTAGTTCTTAGGTATGACCTAAAATCGAGTAAGTAGGTACTTAACTACACATACTTAGCTCAGTGTTAATATTTTCGACATTCGTTTGGCCATAAGTACAGTCACCGTCAAATGTTGATGACCACATTCTGATCGTCAAAATTATAAAAACTGTACCTACTAATGTAGTTACCTTATTTATGTGTATTTAAATCTACATCTTTTTATATCGAACCTTATTTTAACGCACAGGTGCTAACAGCTTTTTTAGAACAATCAGCAAAGTTATCCAATACACAAGTAATGTAATAAAGATTGATTTAGTTTGTACAATTTTTTTAATAAAGCACAATAGCTTTATTAAAAAATTGTTCTATCAAGATCAATTATAGAACTTATAGATAACTATACAATTTCAATTCTTACCACGTTTAAAATAACTTATGTAGCTGACTGTACACGATCTTTATTATTTTTGCTCCACCACCAAGCTGACTGAAAGATTAAAAATAAAAAACAGGTAGGTACCTACATAATATGAGTAGGCTGTTTGCATATTTATTTTTAGTATTTAAAGACCTGTCTACCTCTCTGTACTCGAAGGTCAACAAATATAAATTTAATGCAGTATACACCAACCTTTATTTGGTTAAGAAATGAAATAAATGATTCATTACTTCATCATTAAAAACGTACAAAAAACGCGATTAAAAGTGCTCCATAACTTGAGCTTGTTACATTGCATTTTCTTAATTTAGTAAAAGATATCTGAATAGGATTTAAAAATCTAGTTTCTTAGTTTTTTTAACTAATGAACGGAACTTTCATTTTTTTATGGGATAACCCGGTAAACGTGCTGACGGATCACTTGACGGTAAGCAATCGGCGTTGCCCATAGACACCCGGAACACCAAAGGCGTTATAAGTGCGTGGCTAACTTGGTGATTATGAATTTGTGGATTTTCGAGAGTCGGGAGAGATTGGGCCTCCAGTAACCTCACTCACACGACGAAACACAATGCAAGCGTTGTTCCACGTCAGTTTTCTGTGAGGCCGTGGTATCACTCCAGTCGAGCCTGCCCATTCGTGCCGAAGCATGGCTCTCCCACACTAAATACAATATATGTTTTAACTTCTAGCATCCTCACAGGGCAATAACGCGTGACAGTTCACTGTTGGAGTACAGACCGTCTCAATAATAGAGCAGTTCATATTGAACTATGGGCCATACAAATATAGTTTCCATCATTTCCTCGCTTGACAGGCAGGAAATTCATGTTTATCACAGAGCATATTATTACCCGGTTTCTGTTAGAAGAATAATCTGAATACCGTCTTACAACAAAATGCGTTCTTCTCTGCCGCATGGCTCATCACATGTATGAAGCAATTAAGTAGTTATAATCTAAGAACAACCATGGATGCGTTCTTTTCGTAAGAACAAACAATATTTCGGTAACGTGATTGCGACTTGCGACACATGCGCAAAGCGAAGGGGCCCACGATGCCGGTGCTCAGTCAACAGACTATAGTTTTGCAACTTATTTAGTAACACCGAAAAATTATAGTATTTGAACAAATATGGCATGACCGGTATATTTGTTAAGAATTTTTATATATCGGTTTGAACTTGTTGTGTCTAAACTGAGGACAAAGGTATTTTTATTTATGCGATTTGTTTTGGCTTTTTGTAAGAACTCTCTATAATTGGTTGGTTTTTGTACACATAATTTAATTTAGGTGTGGGAGAGCCATGCTGCGGCACGAATGGGCCGGCTCGACCGGAGTGATACCACGGCCCCACAGAAAACCGACGTGAAGCAACGCTTGCGTTGTGTTTCGTCGTGTGAGTGAGGTTACCGGAGGCCCAATTACCCTCCCCTTCCCCAATTAATTTTCAGTAATTTTCTGACCGATAGATTGCAATGCGTTAAGATTGGAGAACATATTAGCGACGCGACGAAAGTGGTTATCGGCTTGCCGCAGGGAAGTCTTCTTAGTCCCCTTCTGTTCCAAATCTACGTCAATGAACTCTGTCAGCTATCCCTTCCCTCCACAAAAATAATAGCATATGCAGATGACACAGTTATTCTAACATATGACCGTGATTGGACCTCAGCAAAAGAAATTGCCGAAAAAGGACTCGGTGAAGTGATGCTATGGCTGGGTAAAAACAATCTGGCCCTAAACTTAAAAAAACCAACTTCATTACTTTCGGCTTAAGATCCTCCACTCTTCCTCCAGATGGGTCTTTAACATTGAAAGCCCACAAATGCACCAACCTCTCTCCCCTTTGTTCATGCCCCATCGTTACTAGAGCAACAGTAATACAATATCTCGGTATTCAGCTGGACCCCTGTTTAACCTGGAAACCACACTTACAAGCAATGTCGGCGCGAGTTCGAAAATTAATTTTCCTATTTAAAAAGCTTAGAGTTTCCGCCAACAACAACATTCTTAAGATCGTTTATTCGGCACTATGCGAATCGATATTAAACTACTGCATCACCGCGTGGGGAGGGGCTGCAAAGACCGACATTATTCAGGTAGAACGAGCGCAAAGAGCGGTTATAAAAGTAACTCTAAAAAGCCTTTTACATTTCCAACACGACAATTATATGCAGAGTTTGAAAAGTTAACAGTCCGACAACTTTACATCTTCCGCTCAGTCATGAAAAAGCATGCCACCGTCCCGTATACCAGAAATACCAACCCAACAGCGGGAAGAAGATCGAAACCGCCATGCCCCACAACAAACACAAACACTACTTTCGCTAAGCGACACTTTACCTACCTAAGTGCACGCCTCTACAACAAAATGCACCAAAAGCTAGACATCCACTCCCAAAATACATTTATATGCAAGAAAAAAGTTACTTGGCTTAAGTTATGACGAGACAGAAGCACTGATAAAACCCTCCGTATGATTTCAATATTAAAATCATCATACAAAACATACACTGGTGTAGACACCATCACACATATACACAAACACAATCACACTCTTCCTATCAAAATCACACACACACTACACTACACATACTCCGCACACACACGTGCTCACACGTACATAAATTATTGTTTAATGTTACACGTTTGGTTTACTGAATAATTGTAAAAGTAACTACGCACGAATGGATGTCTCCTATAATACAGGATTTTCCTAGTATAGGGGACATTAATCATCAAATTAAATGTAAAAGGAACTCGTACACTTGATGTAACAAATCATGTATTTTCTCTTTTTTCTTGAGCAATAAAATTTATTATTATTATTGTATGTCTTTACCATTCACGGGACCACAGGGTCCCGGTCATTTGGGAGGCGTACGAGGGGCCGAAGCCAACTGCGCAGAGGCCCTTTAGACAACTTTAATATAAATGTAATGGACACACAAACCGGCGACTATCCCTGTATGCACTATGGAAATGCACCCAAGGACAGTCTCCGGTTAGTGTAAAACTATTGTGGATAATGGAAAAAAAAAAAAAAAAGATAGGGCTATGGATGGGGTGCTGTGGACTGATAAATTGGGTACTATGAATGACTATGGCACCTGCCGAAACAATGTAATTTTTACACGTAAAAATGGCAGGCGGAGACTCGCCAACTCACCGACCGGGCCCCGGGAATGGTTGCTAGATATAGCAACAGAGGGGCAACGAGAATGTGAGTGGCTGAAGGGTTAAGAAACTACCACCGCTTTCTACTCAGATCATCTGCTCCAGCCGAAGCCTCCTGCATCCCTGGCCCACTCGCGACTTACGAATAGTTTCTTACCCTCCGAGCAGGATCACTGCTCTCGCGACTCCACTCTGGACGGCCAATGAAGGCAAGCCAGAGGTGGGAGACCTGTTCCTTGTCATCTTTCACTCCAGCCAGCCAATTAAGGCAAGCCGGAGAAGAAGGAACGGTGACTTCTCCCTGGAGCACTCGGGATGATGGTAGCCCGCGGGATCGCTAATGCCCGTCACCTCGCCTCAAGGTGCCCTGCGGGCTTATTATTATTATTATTATAATTCCCGAATCCCCAACGATCCTCAAACTCCTAATCCCCAAAAGGCCGGTAACGCACTTGTAACGCTTTTGGTGTTCCAGGTGTCCATTAGCGACGCCGATTGCTTACCATCAGGTGATCCGACTGCTCGTTTACCAGCTTATGCCATAAAAAAACATAACATCTCGCCTTCAAGTTTGAAGTTTGTATTCTTCAATACTTATTTAGTTAGATCTGTCCCGTCACTACTTGGCACTGGCAGTATAGTCGACAAAACGATTTGGAGACTCGGTTGCTAAAGAAACAAAATAGTTAGGTCTGTAGATATTGTTCAAAAGTGTCACACCGGCCCAATAAGTACACGTACCTTTAAGGTATAAAATTTTTAATCATATGGTTTTCTCGGTTCTTGGTGCTTATTCATATTAAGTTATTCAACCTTGTCGAGTTTATTTATATTTCATTCAAAATTAGTTATTTTTTTTAAAGAAAAATGTTGCTTTAGTAAATATGCAAAAAGTATCGAACATATTATGACAGTAAAATTTTGATTGATTGAAACATGATTTAGGTAGCACCATCTTCAGCTTCAGGTACTAATTTTGTTTGATTTTGCAACTTTTTGCGCATTCAGGTAATTATTTGCTTATTTATTTACATAACGTAAAGTAAAAACTTTACTTTTTGTCTAAAATTCAAATTAAATCTAATCTTGCTTTGTGGAATCCGGTAATGTATTTTTTTTACAATTATTAATTTAAAAAAAACCGACTTCAAAAACAAATGACGAACAAAAAGTAAAAACTAAAAAGGAAAAGAAACTATTAGTGGTCATACGTACTTATAGCTTATGTGTAAGCTATACCCACTGATAGGTTAGAAGTCGGTGCCACAAGTTTTAAACAAAATTATTCATTAAAACCTTAATAGATACCTAACATTATTGAGCTGTTTACAATTTTATTATGGATTATACCAGCTGTGACTTTTGTCTACTTTATATTTTATTGTGAGTTTGTGGCACCGACTTCTAACCTATCAGTGGGTATAGCTTACACATAAGCTATAAGTACGTATGACCACTAATAGTTTTTTTTTCCTTTTTAGTTTTTACTTTTTGTTTGTCATTTGTTTTTGAAGTCGGTTTTTTTAAACGCAGTTTTTTAATTTTATTTTATACTTTTTAGTTTAGTACTTTGATATATTATATTATACAAAACCCACATGGATGCAAAGTTTTCATCAATACAAATTATGCAAGTTCAAACACCGTGTGGGTACTCTTAACCATTGAGGAGTCCCTTAGCTATCATACTACTTCGTCATTGGACCTTTAATGACCATCACCCCCCCCCCCATCTAGGTGTAAAGTCCTCATCAATACAAATTAATCAAACCTAAACACAAAATAGCTACTGTTAACCGTTAAGGAGTTCCCTCAACTATCGTACTACTTCATCATCAGACCCTTATTGACAATTACACCCCACTCAGGTGTAAAGTCCTCATCAATACAAATTAATCAAACCCAAACACAAAATACCTACTGTTAACCATTAAGGAGTTCCCTCAACTATCGTACTACTTTATTATCAGACCCTTATTGACAATTACACCCCACTCAGGTGTAAAGTCCTCATCAATACAAATTAATCAAACCCAAACACAAGGTAGCTAGTGTTAACCTTTGAGGAGTTCCCTCAACTATCGTACTACTTCATCATCAGACCCTTATTGACAATTACACCCCACTCAGGTGTAAAGTCCTCATCAATACAAATTAATCAAACCCAAACACAAGGTAGCTACTGTTAACCGTTGAGGAGTTCCCTCAACTATCGTACTACTTCATCATCAGACCCTTATTGACAATTACATCCCACACAGGTGTAAAGTCCTCATCAATACAAATTAATCAAACCCAAACACAAGGTAGCTACTGTTAACCGTTGAGGAGTTCCTCCGACTATCGTACTACTTCATCATCAGACCCTTATTGACAATTACATCCCACACAGGTGTAAAGTCCTCATCAATACAAATTAATCAAACCCAAACACAAGGTAGCTACTGTTAACCGTTGAGGAGTTCCCTCAACTGGCTCTCGGCTCCATCATCAGATCGGCTCCAGACCTTTATCAGATTATAGTGGTTTTTAATACTTAATGAAAAAATTAACAAATGCCCTAGTCACCCCTATCATTTTTAAAAGTTCCCCTCGGTTTCCCTGGTCTTCCATCATCAGATCCTGATTTCCTTATCATGGGACCATTCTGGAACTATCTCCTTTCTAACAAAAAAAGAATTTTTAAAATCGGTTTCTAAACAACGGAGATATCGGCGAACAAACATAAAAAAAAAGCATATATACGGTCGAATTGAGAACCTCCTCCTTTTTTTGAAGTCGGTTAAAAAGAAGATTAGATGCTTGACTGTTAGAGAATGCCACCCGGCATTAAGTCCGCCATCGTTTGTTATACAGAAGTGTAAATAAATAAATAAAAATAAGATAAAAAAAATATGAATTGATCCATAAGTGATGCAAGCGGAGCTAGCAGTAACATTTGCAATACTTAATTTTAGCAAAGATTGCAAAATTTTTAACTTCTTGTTAAATAGTTGACGACATAAATATACTAAATTTAATTTATTTATATCGTAATTTAAATGAAGAAATAAAAATTAATTTAAATATTTAAAACCAAAGTGCAACTGAATATAATTTATTATTTTTCTTAGAAAATAATCTAGGTTGACCTCAACCTAGATTAATTTATGAACCTTCTTTATATGTTCTATAGGGTCAACAGACTTTTAGTATTTAAATGTAGAACAAAAAATGTAGTTTAGTTATAAATCGTTCTAATCTACTGCCGTTCATCAGTGACACATCTGACACTTTACAATCCTAAGCCTGTAAGGTCAAAGGTCACCAACTCACTTTTCGTTGATACAGTCGTATCTAAATACCGAATTCTATTTTAAAACATTGAGCAATATTCGTCCTGAAATACCTTAATTTCCTAACCAGTCGTGAGTCGTCACACTGTTTCGCTCGGCGCTTCATGGATTCATGAGATGAAATGAAACTAAAATGGTAGAAAATAACACTTTTGTACGACAATCAGCTATAATACTTACTTTGATAAATAAGTTATTTTTAATATGCACAATATGCACATAACATAATACTTGGTAAATTATACACACAATACGTGTGTCGTACTAATATTATACTTAAATACGAAAATGTGTATATTTGTTTGTCACTCCTTCATGTTACAACTGCTGAAGGGATCGAGATGGAGCAGGGGTAAATTATGCTCTGGAATAACACATAGGCCAATTTTAGCCCGTCGTCTGTCTAAATGTGGATCCAGACGATACACAATTTCAGACCACCACAGATGGAGCCTAACAAGGCTGATGCCGATACGGAGCCGCGGAAGATTTAACGGGTTGCCGGGGCTCCAGCTCGACGTGCAGAAGAAGAAACGGGGTGGTTTTTAGTCAGTAAGAGTCTGACACTCCCTCCCGCCTCACCCAGGCGGGAGAAATCATTGGATGATTTCCCCCCCTCAAAAAAAAAGACAATACACAATGTATTTTCTATCGTGTCTCATACAGGCATTGAAGCGGTTAAACCACGGAAACGCGGCCAAAGCCGCTGGCAAAAACAAGTAGATCATAAACCCATTATTACAAGGACCTTCATATCATCAACGTGATTGTCGATGAAACCTACTAATTAAGTATGCATGTAAATTTTAAACTACGTACACTTGCATACAATGATCTTGAACGTAGATGAATTACGTTTGCGTATCTACAATTATCATTACGATAGCATGCGCAAGCGCACGTATAATGTAAGAGTGTTATCAAACGATTCTAAGAAAAGATTGTGGTCAATGTACTTAGATGGTGTTATGAAATTTAGAAATATCAAACACATATTTAATTATTAGTCTATTTTGAGCACTATTTTGGAATTGAGCCTTTAATCTTATAGCTATAAAATTTAGTTTATGTTTAGTATTTATCTGCCCTATACCTATAGTCAATTATTGCCCTAAATAGAAAAAATATAATAATATCGAACTCTGTTATAAAACTTGACGGGACAAACAACATGCTTTCAGAAAAGTACATGTAGATTTTGGGAATAAAATCATCAACATGATATATTTTTTACACTGACAACGGTAAATCTTTCTTCTTGTCCATTCTAACTCATAATTATGTTTGATTAGTAATCTATACCGAAATGAATGTCAATATATTACTTAGAACTACTGTTATTTGACCGTAAAACTTTATACAGACCTACTGGTGTCATAAATGTCGCATCTTTATGAGGTATGTTGCTATGGGCGTGCATTTTACGGCACTCTACTGATGTCACTTTAAAAAAAACTCATAACTGTCGTATTATTCGAGTGAATCGAAGTGCGATATACGTTCAGGGGTTTCAGAAATCGAAAATTTCAACTATAAAAAACGGGCCGAGTATCGATCCCTGTGGAACACCCTTGATCATCTTGACAACAGATCCGGCAGAAGCCTTTCCATTCACCTCCACTCTTTGAACCCTGTCACTTAGGTATGACGTAAGAAGGTCCAGATCGAGCACCTAGTTAGAAACTGTGCTTTAGGTATCTATAGATATGGCAATAGGTTCACCCCCGATTAATTGGGACTTGTTATTTTACTGTTGTAAAGTGAATGTTACAACTTACATTGCGTAATAATATGTGCATATTTAACTATCCTTTTAGGAACTGGCTCGCTTACCAAAGCTTTTCTAAGATTGATGCCACAGAATGATCCCGGAACTAGTTATATTTGCGGTAAGTATCAGTACAAATACATAATTTTTGCTAATTATCCTTTAATCCTTAGATATCTCGTATCGTTTTTACGTACTATTGTGTACCTATAAGCGGCGTGTATACTATGTATTTCTTGCAATATCACTATTTCTGATACAAAAAGAGTTTCCACGATAATGAAGAGATTAGCTCATTATTCGAGTTTCGATAAGGGAATCATGCAAATAGGTTTTATTAGGTACAATTTGATGACATTGGGTGTGATTGAT